CACAGGGAAGTAAATGTTTAATTAAAATATATTGTGATAAAGTCTTTGATAAGAGAGTGGGTTAGGGTGGACCTCTACCTCACACCATATATAAAAATTAACTCAAAATGGATCAAAGACCTAAGTGAAGGGCTAAATCTATAAAACTCTTAGAAGAAATTATAGAAGTAAATTTTCATGATCTTCCAATTTGCCAATGGATTCTTAGATCTGATACCAAAAGCATGAGCAACAACAAAAAAAGATCAATTGGACTTCATCAAAATGAGAACTTTTTGTGCATCAAAAGAAAGTATCAAGAGAGTGAAAAGATGACCTACAGAATGAGAGAAAATATTTTCAGTTCATATATCTGTTGAAGAAATTGTATCTAGACCATTTAAAGAATACATGCAACTAAACAATAAAAAGACAAACAATCCAATGAAAAAGTGGACAAAGGGCTTGAATAGACATTTTTCAAAGAAGAGACAGAATGTACAATAAGCACTGAGCAGTTGCTTGCCATCATTCGCCTCAGGGAAATGCAAATCTAAACTACAAGGAGATGCCACCTTGTATCTACTAACATAGTAATAATAATATTAATAACAATCATAATGACAATAATAGAAAATAAATTAAGTGTTGTCAAGTGTATAGAGAAACTGAAATCCTCCTATATTGTTGGTGAAAATGAAAAATGGTGCAGCTGCTGTGGAAAGTGTTTTGGCAGTTCCTCAAAGAGGTAAACATAGAGTTACCATATGACCCAGCCATTCCAGACCTAAGTATACACACAAGGAAAATGAAAACATATGTCCACAAAAAGACCTGAACATGAATGTTTATAGTAGCATTATTCATGATGCCAATAAAACCCCAAAACTGAAACAGCAAAATATCCATTGGCTGATGAATGGTTAAAGATAATATGGCATACTCAATAGAATACTACTCAGCCATAAAAAAGGAAAGAAGTATTGACATATATACAACATAGATGAACCTTGAAAACATCCTG